TTACCATTATTGTCAAATTATGCCTCATCATCAATTATCCATTATTTAAGCTCGAGATAAGAAGTTGTAGTCTTTATGTTAGATAAAGTTGGTAACTTATACTTGATGATATAGTTACCAGATTAATCGGGGCATGTTAATAAATTATATATAAAAGGCACATGCTAACCGCTCGCTACAAGAGACGCACTCAGCTGTTTCTTCACGCGAGTCAGTGTCCACAGTGAACGGGATGAGAAAAGGTGTGGATGTCTTTTTCTTCTCCCTTTTGCTGTCTTCTCTCCTTTGTTCGGAGGCGAAGACCAGCAGAGAGAAATCAATCCCGCCCGTTGTGCTAAGTAAGTATGAGTAATGGATGGACTGAGTAGGGAGAATGAATGAATATGCCTTTTTGTTCTGGAATATTGCAGAGTGAAGGGCAGAGAAGGGATGAATGACGTCGGATTGTAAACAACTGTTGCGTAGCCAAAAATTCTCAATTTTTGACCATTCATAAATATAATGCTGTCGTAGGATTACTGTAAAACGTTAACTTTGAGTGTCACATGAAGGCTAGTGTTAGTAGTTATATAACATAGTGAGGCATTTTGTCCTTTGTCCCGCTGTCTCTAGGAAAACATTACGTATGACTCACCTTGACATAACGCAGTCCATGGCAGACAATTTCTGAAATAATACTAAGTCACGACAGTAACTTGATTCATGTAGAGTGTTGCATGAGTAAATGAGATGTGTTTCTTTAGTCAGATGTGGACAAGGTCATTTTAATGTACCTGTTTCTAAGGTTCCTTGACGGGTTTTTGTTGAGACAAGTCGTGCTTTGTTGTTGTTGTTGATTGTTTTTCTCTTCTTTAATGTTAACCCTCTTATCTTTCTTGTTTTAAGTGTACTGTATTATTAGTTATTATTAAGTGTACTGTATTATTAGTTATTATTAAGTGTACTGTATTATTGAATGTATAATTAGCAAGTCCAAGAAATCTTCATGAAAATTGCTTAAATTATCATTGGACCAGACAGTTGCTCAAAGCATCTAGCTTGTAAGAATGAAAATGCACTGCTGTAATATAGATTTTGATAGAAGAAAATATTTGTTATTACAGTTCCTGGAGATGGCGGATCACAGATAGAAGCAAAATTGGACAAACCGGCAGTAATCCACTACATTTGCTCAAAGAAGACGGAAGGATGGTTCGACCTGTGGCTGAATATGGAACTTCTTGTTCCATATGTCATAGACTGTTGGGTAAGGTTTAATTTTTAATCTCTTGAATCATGGAAGATATATTTTTCAACCTAAAAATATATAAGGTAAATGTTTAGACAATGTTTGCAAGACCATCACTGGCCGCAAATCTATTTTCTTTTCAGCAAAGTCGAACAAACTTTCTCCACATGTATTTTAGTAAGATGGAGCTTGCATTCCTTCTTGGCAATATATCTATAAATAAGGAACCAGTTCAAAGGGATTTGTTGGTCTTAACCCAATGTCGACAGGAAAATGGTGTGTTCCCTTTGGCAGTGCTTGGTTAAATGTGTCTGCACATAGGTGGCTCTACCAGTGCTTAGCCACAAATGAGTCAATTAGTAGATCTTGCGACGTCACTTTTTTTTGAAAAAGCGGAAAAATTTTTTTTTTTTTACTACTGCTATCAATATTGGCACTGTTATTTTTGTTATAAATGTTATAATTACTATAGTGTTACTATATGTACTACGGGAACGGTAAATGGGAGACAGGTAGTTTGCGTAATTGGCTCATTGGTGACTTCATACTTGTGGAGCCATCTATAAGTAAAAACAATTTCTAAATTCAACACACAATGGGGCATGGCATATAAGCACATACAATGCCCGGTGACATGGGGTTAATTTGAGCGCAGAAGCAATGGTAGTAACTTAACATAGTAACAGTGTAGGGTTGGACTTCATATTGTAGGTTTTCCATCAATTAAGTTATCACATGGTTTTGGTGAGATGCAGCCACTATGATTATATTTTGAAGGCTGCTTTAAATGTCTTCCATATATATATATATATATATATATATATATATATATATATATATATATATATATATATATATATATATATATATATATATATATATATATATATATATCTATACACTATATATTCAGTAGCACTTCCCTTGTAACTTTTGTCTGTGTATCCTAGACTGAGGCTTTTTATGAATCACAGAGGGTGAGAAAAAAAGAGATAATGTATTGAAATAGGAAAATGCAAGCTTACGCTGTTCTAGAAAAAAAAAAAGTTATATGGTTATGGGATTACATATTTCATTAACAGAAAATAAATAGATTCACTTAACAAAAAAGTTTTGTGTTGAATGCACTGTAGATGATCACATGTTTATATGGTTTTATATCCGGTCGTTGCACATGCCTCAAAAAAGGCTGACGTAACTGTTCCCGGCAACACCTGTTGTCATGTAACTGTTTCTGAGGTCATATGTTATGCAGTATAAGCATGCTGTAAATAATAGCAACAGTAATTTATTATTCTATTTATGATACAGTAAAGAGATTTGTAAGATATACTAGTACTATGGTACCTCATTTAGTGATTAGAACCAGTGCTTTCATCATCCAGTATTTTCTATTTGTAGCTTATAGTCTTTGTAAATTTTCCTTTTTCTTCTTGTTTTCTTTTATTTATTGTATTTTTTTTCTTGTTTCCTTTTGTTTTATTTATTATGCAACTATCTAATAACTTTTCTTTTTCTTTTGTATTTTGTCGAAAGATAAAACTCTTTTTTTGCATGGAGCAACAGACTGCTTGTGTGACACATTTCTTGGCAGTTTTGTGACCCTTGTGGAAAACCATTAGTTATTTATTAATTAAATAGCTTTGGTAAACTCTATTCATGCCTGATAAAAGTGACAAATCTTGATATATGATATTGACATTGGTAGGTTGTATATTGCATCTGCTCTCAGAACAGTTAACTATAAGATGTCTGTCACAGCGTTATACAATGAAATACCATAATCTATATGTACAGTGTAAACAGTGCGTTGACTCAGTTGATAACTTATCACCATTCTAAGTCAGATTAATGGAAATAACTCCTTATGTATGTGTATAATTTTTTTGTGTGCATTATACTGATAAGAAAAAAAAAAAGGGAAAGCAAATACTTAAATATTTATGTAAATTGGGAATTACATAGCATAGATATTTGTGTGCTGGTATATTTACCTTCTGTGCAAATTATAAGTTATTAATAATAGGGAAAGATCTTGGCAAACAAAATTCTCCATCTGGAATCTTCCTTTTAACTGTAACATAATTTTTAACATGAATCAGTTTCACATAAAAAAAAAAAAAAAAAAAAACGTCATCAATATGAAATATTCTAGCCCTTCTTCATAATTTCATTTTTATCTTCTTCTTTTTTCTAACTTTTAATTACTATCTTTTGTAATTACAGGTGGACAATATGAAGCTGGTATATGACAATGTAACACGTACAACTACCAATGCACCAGGAGTTACAACAAGAGTACCTGGATTCGGGAACTCAACCACGGTTGAATGGTTAGACCCCAGTCACCGATCTCCTACCGGGTACTTCAAAGATATTGTGAATGCTCTTGTCCCTCTAGGGTATGAAAGAGGGGTGTCTGTACGAGGTGCCCCCTTTGACTTCCGCAGGGCCCCAAGTGAGTACTGCAGGAAGAATTTGTGTTGGAATAATGCCGCACCAGATTTAGATCCCATTTGAGTGTCCTTTTTGAACGTGCATATGCTCAGATTATAGAATGATTATGTTCCATCTCTGCAGAGGAGTGACTAAAGAGATGTCTTTCTACAGATGAGCATGATGAGTACTTCCGTGACCTCCGCAGGCTAATCGAAGAAACTTACCAGAGCCTAGGGAGGAAGGTGATTCTCATCCTGCACAGCATGGGTGCCCCAATGATGCACTACTTCCTAAATCAACAGGAACAGCATTGGAAAGACAAGCACATAGAAACTGTTGTGTCCCTGGCTGGTGCATGGGGAGGCTCTATCAAAGCTGTCAAAGTTTATACTGCAGGTAAGGATGCTGTTTTATTCTTCTTGAGGACTTTCTCTCTCCCTTAGGTTTTTATCTTATTATTATTATTGTTATTTTCATTTGTCCGTTCTTCTGCTCTTCTTACCAAAATTTTGAAATATGACAAATGCTGTATCAACCATAAAGGAGTAATAAAAAAATAGATAAATAAATAAATAAATAAATAAAGCTAGATTTTTTGTTTTACGAAGAGACTTTGAAAGCATTGTGTAATATATCTTTAATTCCCTTTTTTTTCCAGGGGACAATCTAGGTATCTACGTCATTAGCTCATTAAAAGTAAGAGCCGAGCAGAGATCAGCTCCCAGTCTGGCCTTCCTCTTGCCCTCTTCTGATCTTTGGGGTCCTGACGACATCCTTGTTGAGACGCCCACGAAAAACTACTCAACTGCAAACTTCCAAGATCTTTTTACGTTTGTATTGTTCTTCCGTTTTTGTATATATACTAATTGCTTAGGGCATTGTTTACTTTTTCGAGTTGTGATTCCTACTCTTTGCCCTTTTGTGTGTATATCTATCATTCTGTGTGAAAAGCAAGGGTAAAATGAGTTCAAGATTTTGGTATTTTCCTAATTGTAAAGGTTTTTTCTTGTATCATTTCATTCAGAAAGTTGTTGGTCAGATTATGCCTGTGTCTGTTATGCACGCATATGCAGTCCCTGTCCCCCCTTCTCTCTCTCTCTCTCTCTCTCTCTCTCTCTCTCTCTCTCTCTCTCTCTTCTCTCTCTCTCTCTCTCTCTCTCTCTCTTCTCTCTCTCTCTCTTTCTCTCTCTCTCTCTCTCTCTCTCTCTCTCCTCTCTCTCTCTTCTCTCTCTCTCTCTCTCTCTCTCTCTCTCTCTCTCTCTCTCTCTCTCTCTCTCTCTCTCTCTCTCTCTCTCTCCCCCTCCTCCCTTCCTCCCTCCCTCTCCTCCTTCCTCCTCTCCCTCCTCCCTCTCCTCCTCTTCTCCTCCTCTCTCCCTCTCTCCCTCTCTCCCTCTCTCTCCTCCTCCTCTCTCCTCTCTCCTACCTCCTCTACTCTCTTCTACTCTCCTCCCTCCCTTCCTCTCTCCTCCTCTCCTCCTCCCTCCCTCCTCCCTCCCTCCTCCCTCCTCCTCCCCCCTCCCTTCCTCTCTCCTCCTCTCCTCCTCCTCCTCCTCCTCCCCTCCTCCTCCTCCTCCTCCTCCTCCTCCTCCTCCTCCTCCTTCTCCTCCTCTTCCTCCTCCTCCTCCTCCTCCTCCTTCTCCTCTCTCCTCTTCTTACCTTCACCCTCCCCCCTCCTCTCCTCTCCTCCTCCTCCTCCTCCTCCTCTCCTCCTCCTCCTCCTCTCCTCCTCCTCCTCCTCCTCCTCCTCCTCCTCCTCCTTCTCCTCTTCCTCACTTCACCCCCTCTCCCCTACTCCTCCTCCACCTCCTCCTCTGCCTCATCCACCTCCTTAACTGCCACTCCTCCTCATTCTCACCCTCACCGTCATCCTCCCCCCTCCTCCTCCTCCATGCCACTCCCTCCCCTTCCCCTCCCCCTCCCTTCCCCCTCCCCTCCTCCTTCCCCTTCTCCTCCTCTCATTCCCTCTCTCTCCCCCTCTCATTCCATCACTTATCTTGGGTTTGTTTCTCCAGCACCCTGAACTTGCCTGATGCCTACGAGATGTACCTGGACACCAAGGATTTATTGAAAAACCCACCAGCCCCTGGTGTCGAGGTCCACTGTCTGCATGGAGAAGGAGTCCCAACTGTCGAAAAGTAAGAACTGTATAAAAGTTTATTTTCCATCGCAGCTTTCATTTTATTTTTCATCTCCATTTCTCAGTGTTATCAGCATGATTATTATGGAGGTGTTTATCGATGAGGAAAAATATTGTCATTGAAAAAATATTTGAAAAGTACAGGTTGCTTGGATGTAATATGAGATATCTTTTTATTTTTATTAGGATTTTTAATGCTTTCTCTAATAGTAATAAATGAGTGTTAACAAATGATCAAAAGTATTGTTAAAAAAGTGTAAAAACCTATGTGCATTGCTTTTTTTTTTTTTTCAAAAGATTTATATATATATTATATTTTTTTTTTTCCCCTCCAGATTGGTCTATGCTGCTGGCAAGTTCCCAGACAGCCCGAAAGTTATCTATGGTGGAGGGGATGGAACAGTCAACTTAAGAAGTGCAAGGCGTTGTTTAGAAGTAAGTTGTTCTATTTAATTCATTTTCACCATATCAGTATTCAGCTTCCGATATATAGGTTAGAAAGAGTGCATAGGCAATATATCGCTGTGAATTACTGGGAAAATTAAGATAGACTTTTCTCATCTGCACTTTTTTCAGTCTTTGATATTATGAATTTCATTGTAAATGAATGAAATTCATAATAGTATGGTCTGGTTATGAGAAAGGATATAATGACATGGCCAAAATTTTTCATGGCTAGATCTCAGTTTCTTAGACAACATCTTATCTCATTATCCAAACCCTGGGGAGTAAGTATCCATGTCATGTGCGGTTGAGTCTGCTGTAAGTTGTGTGTGCTAAACAGTGGTACAGTTGTTTGGGCCTTATTGCAGTCACCGAGAAGATACAGCCCCTCAACAGTCGTCTTGAAGTATCTATTTAGCCTCATTTCCTAAAAGATTTTGCATGCAACAGCTAAGAGTATAGAGAGTAGGATAAATATATTTCCCAGCTTCTAGGTTTTCACTCAAGCAGCTGACTGTGCACAAAGCTCAGCACATAGCTCAATATGGCATGGGAAAAGGCCATTGTAAAGGGGTTACATATTGAACTAGGAAGATTAGTTCTTTAGATATATATTGAATATAGATTTATAGCAATTATAGATAAAGCTACAGATGTATAAGAGTTCTCCTCATGAGCATTAAGTAATATAAATGTAAACCTCTAATAAAATGACATATTTAAGACATATTTTTATGATACAAAGAGGACTCAGTGTACCAGTACACAATACTAGTGGGATTTTCATTTATTTCAGTGGGTTGGCAAACAGAAGCAGAAGGTTTACCACAAGCCTTACCAGGGTATTGACCACATGGCGATCTTGCGTGACTCTGACGTCATCAGTTATGTGGTGGAGTTAGTGCAGAACATAACAAAGAAGAACATGAGGCTATCACAGAAAAAGGCTGAGAACCTGAATCGGCTAGAGAAGAATAGGAACGACAAGGCAAAACAACACATTCTCGAAAGAAATGCTAACGATGTCATCATGCCGATGAAATGGTTTGATGCAATATATGCCAACAAAGAGGAATATATGAAGCAGCAAAGTAATTCCAGGGTAAATAACCGACATCCCAACAGCGTACTTGCATTACTAGATGAGGATCACATTGTGACGGAATCGTGACGGAGGCCTGCAGTGCGCTAATGTAATTATCCTGTCCTCTTACAAATCTTTCCACAGAATTAAGAAAGCAAAATTTTTAGT